GAACAGAGAAGATAGCGCAAAGGGATAGGAAAGGACAGCAGAGTTAGTGGTTCTGAAAATAGATCCTGAACACGTGGAAGTCTCTCTAGGTAACTTTAAGTTAACGGAAGCACTAGGGATGGCTTTTCTTACTTCATTGGATCATCCTTTGCTCGTGAGCAGCTGTTTTCAACTTTAAATTACATCAGATGTGACACAAGAAACACACAGATGACCTAAGAGCTGTGTGTGCTGCTTTCAAACTAGCAGAATACAAGCCAAGGTGTGACAAATTACTAGCAGACACACAGCAGCAAAAATCACATTAACTGTGCTAAACCAAGCCAAATACAAACTTTTACCTTTCAATAAAAAGCAGCTGGCATCAGTGAAAGCTTTGTTAACGTGTTTTTAAGACAAAACATGTTGGGCCCACCAGATAGCTCAGCAGCCGAAAGACCCTGCTTAGGCGGAGCACAGTAGCCAGGTTCAATCCCTGGCATGCTGTGCCAGCTCCGACCCCAGGGCACACTGAGGCGGCAGCAATTGAGACTGGGCATGGTGGTGTGCACCTTTAATCCCAGTTCTTGGGAGGCTGAAAACAGAAGGATCACTATGAATCTGATCTACATAGTGAGACCCTATAAACCCTGTCCTAAATACTGAAGGAAAAAAAAAAAAAAAAGACAAAAGATGTTAATGTTCAAGCTGTTTTAAACTAAAATCTCAGTAGTGAGATTTAATTGAAGTTTTGGCACTTGGCATAAGTAAGTGGCTTTTGGTTAGTTTGGGGACTAGGTCTCTACAAGGTTCACCATCACTGCCCAGTACCCAGGAAACTTCTGACCAGTTCTGTCTGTAAATTATTCCCTTTCCTAATGTTTTATATAAGTTGAATCAGACTCTATGTAGTCTTTTGAAGTTGGCTTTTACTATTCAGTGTATTTTTAAGATTCAATTTTGTTCTATGCATCAGTAGTTCATTACTTTTATTATTTAAGTAAAATTTCATTCATGGATATAGGACAAAATATTTCCATATCTGCCTATTGATAAATATATACCATCTCAAATTTTTGATAACATAAACAAAGCTGCTTATTCTTGTATAAATCTTTGTGTAGTAGACAAACTTTGTAGACATGTGTATTCTTTTTTTTTTTTTCATACCAGGAACTGAACTCAGAACCTTGTGCTTGCCAGGTAGGCAGTGCTGTGCTGTTGAGCTACATCCCCAGTCCAACATATGTATTCTTTTTGGTTAGAAAAGAATTACCACGGGACAAGGGCCGTGAGATAATCTGACAAATGTAAGAACAGAGAGATAACAAGGTAAAATGGCATGCAGCCCCACAGGTTCTCTTAAAAGTCACTAGACAAAAGAGCCAGCAAGCAGAAAACCCAGCCTTATCGATATCTCTAGGTTTAAAAACCCAGTAAGTGATCTCCAAAGAGTCGGGTGGTACTGTGCGTGATCAGTCCAGTGAGTATCAGTGGCATTAGGGAACAATAAAGAGCTGTCATCTCAGCTTCCAGCCCACCTGCAATGCAGGGTGTCAAGCCCAGCTGCCCACAAGAACAGACAAGTGGAGTAAATGAGAGAAAGGAGGCAAGTGAACCTGCCTCAGGCTGAAAAGCATTAGGGAACAGTGAATTGGAGCACCAACCCCTGAAACACCTGCTCCTGCCCATGGAGCACTGGTCACCCTCCTGCAACAGTCTGTGCCAGTAGAAAGCCAAGCCCACAGCTGCAATCTTACAACTTTTTTGAAAAATCCATAAATAACTTGTGCATCATTTTCCTTTGTAAAATCAAACTAAGTATGTTTATGTTGTGTTTAGCTGACCTAAATCTGGCCTACAGATAACACCAGGGTCTCTCAATCTCCAAAGCACTCCACCCTGCTCCCACCCACTTGCTGCCTCCTATCTGCGCCACATGACGGAGCACTGCAGAACTCAGTAGGCTCCCAAGAAGGAAGGATGTGTCTCTGTCTCACTCACAACAAGCAAGACTCAACGACACACTCTTAATAAAAGGAAACAGAAATGGAAATCAATCACTAGGGCAATCATGCTGTTTGAGCAGAATGTTGCACCAAATTAAAAGCATTTTTAAGTTGTCAGGAAAGAATAGGCCTCCTATCTCGAAAAATATCATTTTTTGTTTTAGTTTTGCTTGGTTGGTGTTATGGTTTGTATCTAGGCCAAAGTCTCATATATTTCATGATCCAATGCTGGGATTATGGGTGTGAGTGTTACACCTGCCCTGAGCTGGGTAATCCACATTACAAAGCAGAGAGGGGAGAAGGGCTCGCTAGGTGCTGCAGAAGCTGCCCCTCCCTTTGCTCTTTGCTGTTTTCCCATGCTGCCCTCTGCCATGTGCCGCTCTGCCTTAAAGCCAGCCAAGTATGGACTGAAATTTCCACTAACTGAGAGCTAAATAAACCTTCCCTTCCTTAATTTTGGGTGTTGGGCATTTTGCCCCAGCAACAACAGAAAATTAAGTGAGACAGTGTTTTGGGTTTTTATTTTTAAAAACTTTTAAATGCCCTGCTTCATGTATTAAAACTAACTGTTCTCAGGATTAAGCTCTGGCATCAAACCCATCTACACTAGAATTAAGAGAATAAAGCACATAAGATCAACTAAATGGAAAATTAGTTCCACAAAACACTGTAGATTTTAGCTTCTATACAAAATAGGGTGATTACTTACTTTAAAATACTTTAATGTCATCCTATTCCAATTAAAGTCAAAAGTTTAAGGAATGAGTCAAACCTACCAGAACTCAACCTACTTATGTAATTTAGCTTTTCCCACAGACTCTAAAAGGACTGCTGTATGAGATCTTTTTTAATCAGATAAACACACTACGGCCTCCCACACCCTAAAAAGCCTTCTTCCTTCACTACCTGAGAATATAAAAACATAATTTACCACGCAAAGTGTCTCACGTACTCACCTGAGAAGGACTCGATGGAGTAAAGTGAAGGTAATATAGTACTGCTGGACACATGCAATCATCCATTCTTGCTGGTAGCTAATAGCAACAGGTTTCCATCTGGATAACTTATTTACATAGACTGAGAAACATGAGTTGTATCCTTCTCTAAATCAAATCCTCCATGGATATTTTAGAGGGTGATGTATTAATTGGGAAATACAGTCCACTTTACTGAGATCAAAATACACAATTGTAACAGGCCAGTGATATAAAAAGTATAACTGATTCAAATTAGAATTTGCATTTTTATAAGTTCTAAGTCCTTCCATATTCAAACCAAAAAAATGTTACTACAGAATATCTTAAAAATGGAAAATTAAAAGAAAATCCTATGGTACTTTAATAGTACTATTACCGAACCACTGAGCCACATTTAGGCCCTTTTTAATTTTTATTTTAAGATAGTCTTAATAGTTACTAAAATGCCTAGATTGGGCTAAAATTTGCAGTGTCCTGCCTCATCCTCCAGAGTGCTGAGGTTACAAGTATGTGCCACCCAGCCTGCATTGGAAGTGATTTCTATTCTTTAGAACTCTTCTTTCACCACTGTATAATGGCAGTAAGTGAATACAACAGAAATCTACGGACTCAGCCCACAAGCATACTAAGCCGCAGCAAATACTTGCAATAGGCATGATGTTCGCAAGTGCATGAACCCCCAATCGATTTCAGCTGGGAGCAAAGTACCAAGACCCAGCTGTCTCCAACGCAGCAGTAGGCCAAACAGACCTTCATTTATTCCCAGTGTTGATCTCTCTGAAAACAAACACTCATGTCTACATGATTTATAACTATTCTATTTGCTATGAGAGACCAACAGAAGCTTGAAATCTAAAGTACTGTTATGAGATCCGGTAACTTAATGACGTATAACGGGCACTGTGCTAGGGTACTATGAGAGCAGCCACACTGTTTTACAAAGAAAATTAAGGCAGAACAAAGAAAAGGAACACAAGGGAAAATAAAGGAAGAAGAAATAAGGAGAAAAAGCATTAAACCCCAAGATGCTGAAAAAGTATGTTAATTATTACAAATCTACGTAAAAGGGGGGGATAGCCACAACAACACTAGGCCTTTAAAGCAAAACTTTTGACAAGAAAACAATCAAACTAATTGAACAATTACAACAGCCAGCTGAAAATTCTGACGGAGCGATATATATATAGATATATTTAGCACAGGGTCTACCGGTTCTCACTATACAGAGCAGACTCCTAGTAATTCTCCTGCTTTCAGCCTCCCAAGCGCTGGGATCAAGGGCACACACCACCGCGCCCAGTCTCTGTCCCCATCTCAATGCGCCCCAGGGGCAGGGTTGGCACAGCATACTAGGGATAGAACCCCAGTTCCTGCGCCTACTTAAGCACGCACTTTAGTCCACTGAGCTATCTGGCTGGCCCAAACATTTCCACAACTATTTCTTTTCTATTTTTTCAGTACCAGGGATCAAACTCAAGACTTTACGCTTGCCAGGCAAGCATTTATTCCACTGAACTATCTCCCCAGCCTTAAGAATAATATTATACATCTTGCAATCATGTTGATTTCCCCCACACTTTCCACTATACTTTTTCAAAGATTATTTTATTTTACATGTCTCAAATAACAAAGTCTCACAAAAATCTGTTTCTTCTATAAAAAGAAATTAGATTTCTTAATGAAAGCACCCCCTACACTTGACTACTCATGAAGTCATAGCCAGGGTAATAGATTTAGTCATGCACAGTAAATGTCAACTTACACTCTTCTCTACCAGTGAAGTTACATCCTTGTATGGAAATGACACATTGTTCTTTCTTTGGAAATAAAAACCTCTGGTCCTTGTTTTGAGTTTCATAACAGAACCTATTTTCTTTTACTCCTTCATACAGCAGGAATCCAGTTCTACCAAGCCTGCTGTGAGTTTACCTTTGAAAAATGCTATGAGCTTTGACGAGTGAAAGTCTGAAGAGAGCAAAAATATAAATGATTGAACATCTCCAAAGTGGACGCAAGGCCATTACACCCAACTTACCTAATACGCTGACGAAGGCGTCAAAAAGGTGAAATGTAAGCAGCGGCTCTCTCAAGTGACTGTAATAATCTGCTATCGTTTTAAACACATCTTTTTCAAATCCCAAGTACATCGGCTGCTTCAAATCTGAACAGTTGGGCCCTATTTTGTGTAAAGAGAAAAAAGGCAAAAGAGAAACCTTAATGGGGCAATTATCTCTGAGTGTTAGGATCTGTGTGTATGCATGGGGTATACGGTCACCAAGATGGATAGACATCCTGAAAGTTCTGATACATAGAAAAGTTGTCATGGAAAATTGATGCTGTATAAACTGACATCATACACTTTGCTTATTTAAATATATTTTAAGTCGAAGTCTACTATAAAATAATGAGGAAAAGTACTGGCCTATTTTCATCTTAAAATTAGTCCACTTTTTATGTTCTTGTGAATGCATTTTTATTAAATATAAACAATGGTTAGGTTTCTTGAAAATGTTCAATATTTTCCCAGTCTTGATAAAGATGATCAACAAAACAATTCGCTCACATATATAATACATAAATTATAAAGTCAATTTTAGAGGTTTTCATTATTTCACCATTTTATGTAAAACTCCTACATAGAATTCAGTAAAATAATCATTTTACTCCTCTAAACTCATTTTTCCTATGGTACAGGGTCTTACTATGTAGTTCAGACTTGTAGTGATCCTCTTGTCTCAGCCTCCCTAGTGCTGGGATTACAGGCCTGCACCACATGCCCAGTTCCTGGGCTGGCATGGCATGTGGTACCAGAGATCAAACTCAGGGCCTTGTGCTTGCCAAGCAGGTGCTTAAGCCACTGAGCTATCTCCCATCTAAACTATTTTAAACTAATAACAATGTAAACTTTTTAAGATAACCCAAAAGGAGATTGTACATTTTGTCTTGTTAATTCATTCCAATTCTAAACTCTGTACTTGACTCCCAACCAATCATCAAGTGACAGGCTGTCCTGCAGAGCCAGGCTGCAAAGCTAGACCAGACCTCAGATCACTGAAATAGCCCACCGTGTCCCAAGTCACCAACAAAGCAAAAAAGGCTCTACCAGCTGGGGCCAAAGAGAAATAAGAAATGCTCTCCACAAATTGGGTAGCAACAGTCCATTTAGGAGCAAAGATCCGTAGCAAGTTGACAAACTGGACCTGCCTGAGAAAAATGGCAAGGGTGCCCCGAGGAACACATTAGCCAGCCTTCCTCATTCTTATTACACCACGGACAAAGGAAGAGAAGTGCCAGGGTCAGTTCCAGGCCAGCAAAAGATTAAGCAGCAGCACCCAGTAGACTTTTATCTCTAGGAGAACAGAAATGGCCAAGATAAATTGGAAGGAAAGTCTTCCTACACAATTGCTGGAATGAACAAAAAAAAAAAAAAGATCAAGCTGCCCTAAAAATAAAAAGCACAGTAAAACTTTCTAGGCCTTCCCATTTCAAGGTACTGGGACATCATGAAGTGGGTTTTTCTGTACTCCCTAAAAATCTGTTCTCAGGGCTGGCCAGGTAGCTCAGCAGACTAAAGCACCTGCTTAGGCAGAGCACAGAGGCTACGGTTCAATATCCAGAGCGCCATGCTGGCCCTGCCCCCAAGGCACGCTGAGACTGGGGGTGGTGGTGCACACCTGTAACCCCACCACTTGGGAGGCTGAAAACAGGAGAATCACTATGTGTCCGATCTACGTAGTGAGACCCTGCAGATCCTGCCCTAAATACAGGAAAAAAATTTTTTTCTCTTCTTATAAAAATAATTGTGGGCTTCAATAATAAAATATCTGCATGTGTGCTACCCCACAAACGAGCAGCAGAGACGCCATCATTTTTGCCCGCTTCCTGCTGATCAAGCCCGAGCTGAGCCACTGCAGTAACCAGTCTGAGGCACCTCAGCAGCAAGGCAGGGCTCAGAACGAAGCCCTACCCAGGTACGCGCAGGCTCGCCCCAAGCCGCTGTATCCTTCATGAGGGACGCACCAACCTTATTTAAAAAATGTCGAAATTAAGATTTTCCTAAAAACAAAAGCCAAAAGAAGTATGCAGTGAGCTCTGATAATTTATATTTTTAATAGATCTTTTCTTTCTTAATCACCTTGAACTTTAAGACTTTTTTCTTATTCTAATTTTTCATGTTATTACTGTTATTGATAGATTCTGGAAAAGAAATCCTTCCGCTTTTTAAAATTTTTTTTTCCCACATTTTTGTTGCCTACACGCAAGAAGAGAACCCCATTACACTGGTTTTGGATTTATTCAGCACCCATCACTCATTCTGTGGCCAGCAATGAGTAAGACTGGCCGATAATTAAAGTCCTAGGCTCACATGCATATGGTCTACAACTGCAGAGGAGAATTAAAGAGAGAAAGAAGCGAGCTGCAGACTTATTAAAGAGGAGATAAACAACCTTCAGTGTCATAGGTTCAGCCTATCCTTTTTGTTACAATTTAGATGAATACTGTGGAAATATGGACCTATTAAGGGTAAGACAGACAAGGAACAGATCATGACTCTGATGAGTTTTGAGAGTCAAGAAGAATTTTGGGAAACAAGAGAATTTCACAAAGCTATTTAAAGGCTCATCTTGCCCTTTGGCTACCTTGCCCTTTGATATATAATCCCTGCTTCCAACATCCTCTACCAGATAGAATACCACCTTGTATATCATAACCATTACTGAATTATCATATTTTTTTTTAAATCTTTCCTTTCTATTGAAATTTATTCTAAACATTCTTCAGGGTCAGCTTGATAGATCAGTGGACGAAAGCACCTGCCTAGGCAGAGCGCAGAGGCTGGGGTTCGATCCCCAGCATCCTGTCAGGGTCCTGCCTGTGGGGCACGCTGAAACAGTGATTGAGGCTGGACACTGTGGAACACGCCTGTAATCCCAGTGCTTGGGAGGCTGAAAACAGGAGAATCACTATGAGTCTGATCTGTGTAGTGAGACCCTGTAGATCTTATCCTAAATACAGAAAAAAAATAAAATAAAAATAAAAAACATTCTTCAGAAGTCTTGTAGCATTATGCGTGCAGTACATCTTGTGTAAAGGAAAACTGCACCCCTTACTATATTTTATTTATCACTGAAAATCAAACTCCATAAACGCACCTCGGTGCAGTTTACAGCACTGCAGGCAGGTGTGCTATACTGGCCTCCTACATTCATTTGCAGCTGGCCAAACTCCAGATCTTGCCGCGAGTTCACAAATGGGCAACTGAACTTCCTATTTATACTTCCCAGCTCATCACTGCCAACTCTGGCTGGAGATATAATTTAATTTACTTCGAATGCTTTGAACAAGAAGAATAAAAAGCATTTCCCAGGCTGAAACCACAGTACTTTATATCACAAAGTTTGTTCAACAGTAATCAAAAACCAATGAAAATTCTCATAGCTAAATCTGAGATGTTTGGGCTTCACACAAACTAATGGTGCTCTGTAAGTATTCAAAAAGATAGTACATAATTTTCCATATAAATCCACTAAGATTACCCACATTAAGCTGAATACTTACTTTCACTCTATAGTCAAACACAACTGTCATTAACTCAATGATTTGGGGTCTACTAATTCAAGAATTTATACACTTCATTGTACATGTAAGTTTCTACCCTAAAAAGAAGAAACTGGCCTTCTGAGCTATCTGAGACTCCAGGTAGCTTCTCTAAGCCACATGGCACCACTACCAGCCAACCAAATGACTAGGGCTCTTCTCCTGGAGGCTGAGGCAAGAGGACCATGGGTTCAAGGCCAACCTGAGCTATACAGGCAGCTCAAAGCCAGCCTGACTAAAGAGCAGGATCTTGTCATAAAAACAAAAACAAACAAAAAACTGTGTAGACCTCGCAGCCCTTCCACTTAGTCATAAATTTGTCACTAAAAGCACAGCAATCCCAAAACAATTAATTGCCAGTCTCACAGGCATCAAATCAATGTTCAAGCCAATTTTCTAATTCAGGGTACTAATTTCTGTTCATTTTCTAAAACTGGCAGATAATTAGTACTTACAATTTGCCAAACACTTCATAGCTGACAGTACCCAATGAGGAAGTTCTTCTGCAGAAAAAAAAAAAAAAAAAATCATTAAAGGAAATATTTTATTGAATTCTACATAATTCAAGGAATTATTTACATAGTTGGTATTGTAAGAACTTCTCCGGGAGCATGAAATATGTCACTAATTTAAATATCAGAACATTTAAAAGACAGAACTCTTTCTTTAGCAGTGTTACAGCACAGGCTTATATAAATCACTACAACAATTTTCTCTAAGGAGAAAATATACATTTTCAAGATTTAGTAAAAATAAAAATTGTGTATTCTGTCTCAGAAAAACAAATCAGCAAAGGAATCAATTAACTCCAAGAACTATACAAAGAAAAAATATGGAAGAAAAATATCAGGCAACAAATACATTTGTAGAGCAAGTTTACCAGATACCTTCCAGAACATAATTAAGGGTTAAGTAAGGGCTGAAGGTTGCTCATGGTGGGGTACATGATCACAGGTGTGGGGCCCAGGTTTGACGCCCAGGAGCACAATAAGAAAAAGTATAAGTATCATTTTACCTGTTACAATTTTCAAAATGTTTTAGGCCTAGAAAGCTCCACTAACATACTAACATTTAGCTATTAGCATTAGGACAACCTTCAAATGACAGGAGAAACACTGCCCCGCACAAGCACAGCAGAGCCGTGTGGAGCTGTGTGGCCACTGCCTGGCCACAGTGAGACAGGCCGGTGTCATGATTCCACTTGTACTCTCGACTCTCAAAGTGAGAAGATGCTGCTGGCCTGGGTCACAGAGAGGAACTGAGCTTTGTACAAGCCCACACTCTTTCTAAAGTACCTAATAGGATGCAGGATGACTGCCCACCTGGCTGTCGCTGCAAGCATTAACCTGCTACACTTGGAAACCGTGGAAGGGCTACGTGACTGCAAAGGCCCTATTAGCCCCATCACCCGGAACTTAATGCAACATGTTGGTATCCACGTAACAACTCGAGAAGTCACCACAGACCTGCTGCTGATCCTGCTGCCCTCCATTCCTCATACAGGGGCTGAAAAAGGCAAAGTTCTATTTTCAAAGACAGGTTCTGCTCCTGTCAGGATACAAGGCCTAAAACACCTTCCTCTGATATACTCTTGTCTACTGCACAAGAGCCTCCAGCCCTGAATTCAATATTTTATAAAATCTGAAAAGTTACTAGACCATCTTCTCACATTCAAATGTCATTTAGTCCCAGTCAATTCTTAGCATCAAGGACTGGAACTAAAAAAAAGAACAAATCATAGTGCTTAACTCTCTCTGGTCCCACCCTTGTCCTTACAAAGGAAGTCTAAAAAAATTAGTCTGGGGATCACAGACCTCTGTAAGTACCATCACTATATTTCTCCAAACCAAAAACCAGGTCAGGTGACTGCTAAGTGTCTTTTTTCCCCGTGCTCTACAAACTAGCTTGATCTATAAACAAGGTATTGAGAACTATTAAAGCACCTTCAACATTTAAAGAGCAACCTTGGGCCAGTGACCAGGGTTCAATCCCTGGCACCACATGCTGCCCCAGCCCCACCCCTGGGTGTGCTGAGCCAGCCACCAAGACCAGGCGTGGTGGCGTGCACCTGTAATCCCAGTGCGGAGGCTGAAAACAAGAGGATCACTATGAGTCCAAGCTACACGGTGAGACTCTATACCAATAATTTTTTTTAAAAAATTAAAAAAATAAGGAACAACCTTATTGAAAAGGAAATAAAGTAACATAATTCAAGACCACCCCAGGTAACCTGGCAAAAAAACAATTTCATGAAAAATTAAGTCAGAACTCTAAGTCACACTCCGGAGTCCACCTGAAAACAGACTCAAGCACTCGGGTCTTTTTTATTTTTGAGGCCGGCTCAGCCCACTGTTGGGGTGGGGCTGGCACAGCATGTGGTCCCTGCATGCTTGCCTAAGCTTGTCTAAGCAGGCGCTTCAGATCACTGAGCTATCTTGCCAGCCCACACACTCAGGTCTTAAACACACTCATGTTTCCGAGTCGCTGGAAGATATAGTACACAACCTACTTGGTTGCCAGGGGAATAAAGAACTACCCTTGGTGGGCCGGGGAGATAGCTCAGTAGAATAAGCACCTGCCTGGCAAGAGCAGGGCCTGAGTTCAATCCCCGATTCTGCCAAAAAAAAAAAAAACTACCCTTGGGATGGATTTTTATAGTGTCCTTTCTATTCCATTTTCTTCATCTAAACAATGAGTTAGAAGATGTCTTTTAAAAAAAAAATTAAGCATTAGGAAGTACATGATGAAGGAGGAACGCATCATTTAGAGTATCACGGGGTTCCACGGGGACGGACGGTCTGGACCTGCACAGTGGGTGAGCTGGCTCAGACAAAAGCAAGGGGTTTGGGCACTTACTGGACTTGTCGTCCAGGATGACAACGCCCTGCTTGCTGACGCTGTAGACATTGTAGATGATGAACTTGGGGTTGATGAGCTTGCTGTCTAAGACTTCCTCTAAGGAATCCAGGCCAAGGATTTTCTGTAAACTATAGAGATAAACAGGAATTAAAATATTTAATTACTTCTAAAGAACTATTAGTTAACTAAAAGCAGGGAACTTCAAAAGATCCATTTATGAGGCATTATTCTCACATATTTTACCCAATCTTTGTGAGCAAAATATTTACAAATAGAATATAAGATAAAATTAAAAGATTTCTTTTTTCACCATTAACATATTACTTCAATGATTTCATTATATAATACCTTGAGTTCTAAGACAGTAATTTTATAAGCAAAAATATTACAACAACAAAAACTAACTAACCGAATGGTAAGAGGCTACTATTAGTACATCTTTGTGGGAAAAAAATTGCTGTAAGACTGTTAGGTTTTATTATACTTACAGCATGTACCTCAAACACTTCAGACCAAAGTATTATGTTTCTGATGTGAAACATGACAGTATTACCAGAAAGTTTTACAACTTTTAAACATCTATTTTTAACTGTTACAAAGAAGAAATAGAAAATCCCTAGAATTCAGCTACATTGTGTTGGTACAGGACATAGGTATAAATTATACAAAGTTCAGATTTTTATCCGCAGTTCGCAGAAAGTATGCAGAAAGTAGTGAAACTGCAAAATAGAAAACAATTACTAAAATTTCTCATTCGCATCCACTGTACATACTACGATAAGGTCATGGACTTCCATATCTCTTCCACGTGGGCCTCCGTCAGCTGACTGCGGTGGACCAGGCGGCAGGCTGGCACCTCGCCGATGGCAATGCTGTGACGCTTGAACCACATCTCGGAATTCTAATTCAGAGCCGCAAGAAGGGCCAGCAGAAAGGGGACAACAAGAGAGGGGATATTTCAGAATAAGACTGTATGAGTTTTGGAGAAATGTCTTTGATTTGGCTACTCATAATTTGATTTAAAATGATTAGAGTTATAGGGCTGGTGAGATGGCTCAGTGGTCTAAAGCATCTACTTGGAACAAGCTTAGCAT